AGGATATATATGAAAAGTAAAGGAAGAAGTTTCTCTGAGCATTTAACACAGACAGTATTCTGTCAGCACAAATTCTGTATTTCTTTCCAAACCACTTCGCGTCTATTCCTTCAGGTCGTACAAGCCCGAGTTTGTCAAGCTGAAGATCTGGTACGAGCACCGACTCATTGACGACATGGTGGCCCAGGTTCTGAAGTCCAGCGGAGGATTTGTTTGGGCCTGCAAAAATTATGACGGCGATGTGCAGTCAGACATTCTGGCTCAGGGTGGGTGTGCTGCAACAGGAACATGAAGTCATGCGGCGCCATTTCTTATTTCTCACAATGACTTTGATTTCTCTGTGTGATGTACAAAAGGCTTTGGCTCTCTGGGTCTGATGACGTCAGTGCTGGTGTGTCCTGATGGCAAGACTATAGAGGCAGAAGCTGCTCATGGCACCGTCACCAGGCACTACCGAGATCACCAAATGGTAAGGCTTCCGGATCGGTCTGGTGGACGGGCTTTACCGTCCATCAGACTGGCTTTCTTATTTCCATTAAGATCTTGTTTAGATTCAATCAGAAGTTTATAATAAAGATGGACAAGGCCAAAAACAAAGTACATTAAATGGCATTTTCTTAAAAATAGAGAGGAAACCAGAGACTTCTATACAAAGTGTAAAAAAGAAGCATAACCCTTTTTCTTGACTGTGGTCAAAAGAAACATTTCCTGTTTTAAGGCAAGTCAAAATTGTGCCAATGATTTGTCCAAAGGCTGGAGTGATGGGAGATATTTAACTAACAACTGTCAAGTGTTTGGCCATGATGAAGGCTGCTACATTTTGGAGGAATCAGGGCAACTCACAACATGTGTAGAGGGTCTGGTACACTTCGTCAGATGAAGACCAATACATACTTGGCAAGGAAAGAGAAACTTGTTTTCTTGAGATGCAAGAACAAAGATTTATTTCTTTTCTTACCGAGACATTTCCCAAGAGCTCAGTCATAGAACCCCTGGATGTTTTTCTGGATTTCTCAATGCAGCATCTCTTGGTGTTTGTAGCCTACAGATAAAGGGTAAATGCACTGAACTTATCTATCGTTTTTCCAATCATTTTAACCAGTCAGAGCGCTTTACGCTTTCACCCATTCGCACACACATTTATCCACCGATACAGAGATTGGTGGGCAACTTGGGATTAAGAGGGTAACTAGTCATATGCCCCTTAATTAGTCACAATGTGGCTCAAGGACAATGAAATCAGATAAAGCCCAGATATCAATCTCACTAAAAACATGCGAACAAGGTGGCCGATCAACCTGGTTCAGTTAGAAGCTTGTGGAAGGAAACCCAGAATTTTTGACCCAACTTATACTTTGAAGGAAACTTTTTTGTCACGTCACAACTGAAAGAGTGGAAGAAAACGTTTAGTGTGTGTTACTACAGTATGTAAACGTGGTTTCTTCAGCTCATGCTATCTTTCAACACATTGTTTTTCTCTGCAGGGCAAACCGACCAGTACCAATCCCATCGCTAGCATCTTTGCCTGGACTAGAGGACTAGAACACAGAGGAAAACTGGACGGAAACAAAGATTTAATAAAGTAGGCAGTTTTCCCCCGTGCTCATCTTCATGTAATTGTGCACCTGAACAGTTTCCTACAAAAACACATCTTTGCTCCTGAGGTTCTGTCAGACGTTAGAGAAGGTGTGTGTGGAAACGGTGGAGAGCGGAGTGATGACCAAAGACCTCGCAGGCTGCATCCACGGCTTGGCTAAGTGAGTTTGCATTTTCATTTTCTTTCAAGAGTGCGGTTGGTAAACTTTACTTATTGTCCCTATGATCAATTTAAAAAAAAAAAAATATATATATATAGGGTCAAGCTGAACAAACATTACGTCAACACAACCGACTTCCTGGATGCCATTAAAAACAACCTGGACAACGCTCTGGCAAAGTAAACAGAGGATGTCATCAGATTTTGAAGAATTCTCCATATTTTTATCTTTTGCCTGTATGAATCTTTGTATATGAATGGATTGTATATTTTTGATAAACAATTGTTTTATTTTACTTCCTGCTCAGTGCCTGCACTCTTCCAGCTTAAAATGCTTTTCTACTGTAGAGAGCAGATAAGGAAACAATAGAAATGAAGGTTAATATTAACTAATACTGACTTTGACAGGAGAGTTTCAGGCTTATTTAAGCAGTGGTAGTGTCAGAGCAGAGTGCAAGTCTGAAATATGTATGCAGTATCAATATCACTATAAAAAAACGTTATGAACAAAATGGTGTTGTGTCTCCTTTTTTCTCATCCAGATTATCAGGGAAAAAAAATCAGACATGCCTACAGAAAATTTGACAAATTGCAGATACAGTGTTTCACCAGCAGATGTCGACATTACGAAGCTGATGAACTTTCAGAAGCAGATTAAAACCAACGCTAGTAAAGCAGAATACATGGTTACCTTAAATCACTGACTCTTGCCTGATCTTCATATGATTTGAATTAGATGTGGTTCCTTCAAGGCCATCTCAACATTCTTCCAAATGTAAGGCTAGCGCACTTCTCAGGTATGAAACCAACTTTGTGTTTTCATTTCAGTTCACTTTTAGTCTTTTGGATACGACTCGTCTCTAAAAGTAAAAAACAACTGTGGACCCAGAGATAAAATGGCCTCTTTGTCTTAAATTAGACGTCAAAGAAAATGAAACGCCTGAATCTAAAATGAATAGAAATTAGCATTTAGATGACCTTCATTTCCAAATGTTTTAATTTCCTCCACCCAGAATGTTCCCCCCCGGCGGATCCTGATCTCCATCCCATCGTTTACAACCTTTAAGGGTAATTTTGAGATCAATGATCAAACCTCTCTTGGAAAATACTTTCTAAGGAAGTAATCTCTGAGAACGCAAAGCCTCCATTTAAAAGATCTAAACCAACCTGGAAGAGGAAAGAAACAGTAAATTACGGAGATGGAAAGGCGTATCACAAAGATTCATCATCCAACCGATTTAAACATCGGGATTAAAACAGAGTAGCCTACTTTAGTTAAAAACCTCACCGGGTTCCCAAGTAGTCTGGAAAAATATGGAATTATATTTAGGGACTAGAAGAATATGAAATATTTTTATGATCAGACATTATTCCATGTTCATTATTGGACTGTTTTTATCCACTGAAAGTCTATTAATTTTTTAATTAAAAGAACACCAATCAATCAGTTAATAGTCTGGAATGAACCAATTTTCTATTGACTAGCTCTGTTAACGTTCACAAAATTATACATATTTTTTCCTTGTCCTTGAAGCTTTAGGTGTCTAAAATGTGTTTGTCCTCAGAGGGGTTTTGCATTGCCTTTGACTCCATGTCAAGAATGGCACAAGGTAGAAACTTATTATTTTGCTTGAGACTTCTATCCATTTATTTTTTTGTGAATAGAAAATTTGAAGTGAACCACAAAGTATTCATATTTTATGAATCAAGCTTTTGGCTTTCATTGTGATTTCAAAGTAAGGAGCGATTAGACCTGGCTTCGTTAAACCATTTTCACTGATGCGGTTCTTCTTCATTTGAATATCTGATTTTTCCTAAACAGAAAACATGGCTTTCTTTGGTTTTACTAAAAGTTTAGAGAGCGTTTTTCTACTATTATATTCATCATTACAAGACGTACAAGTAAAAATCACATTAAACTTATTTTTGTGTTTTGAGTTGGAAATTTGTTTAGTTTTTGTGGCTTGAGATCATTTTAAATGCGACAATTTTTGGTCCTTTGTAGGAGGTAGTTTTGACACCACTGTACTAAATGAATCAAATTTAAGAATGAATTTTGCTCCATTAGCACATGTACTCTAACTTTTTTTGATTTACTAAAAAAAAAAAAAATCAAATGAAAACAATACTTCACATCGACGTAAACTTAAAATTTTGGTAGTTTTTTTTTCTTTTTAATTCTTATTTAAAACCTAACCTCTTCAGAAATAGATGTAATAAATTCAATGTGAAGTTCTGTAGAAATACTCAAGAAATGTTCTAAACTTTAAAAGAAAGTATGAAAAACTATAGAAATTAGACATAAGAATGTGTTGGAACAACATACTTAAGTCAGAAACATCACAAGATTCAACACTTTTCTCACTTATGTGTATATAAGTGCGACGTTAGTATTCATAATGTTGTTTAAACTGAAATATTCTTCTAGGTTTTCATGTCGTTTAGTTTTATAGCTCTATATGAGCCAGAGCTGATGGTAGACCACCTACTTTGTTTTTCATTTTTTTCTGAATATTTTCCCAAAACATCCAAAGATATTTTGATACCTTAACCTCCTGTTGTCCTCGGCTCATGTCGACCGAGGACAAGCCCTTAAAAAATATGTTTTTCAATTGCAGCTGCATACAGAAACGCTAATCTAACAGTCCTGCATCAGAACTATGGTGTGCACAACTCAGGGGGAAGTTTAGGCTCAAGCAATTCAAATGTGAACTTTACAAAAGAAATAAAAATAACTAAACCCAGGCCTCAGGTCAGACTGACCGGAAGACTAAGGAAATCACAGCTGGACAGGCAAACAGTATGGAATGTCATCATTGATCTCCGTAAAACTGATATCTTTTCAAATTTCCCCCCCCCCTCCTGTTGCCCTCGGGTTGACATGACCCGAGGACAAGCCCTTTTAAAACATTTTTTTAATTGCAACTGCATACAGCAACTTGAAATCTAACAGTCCTGAATCAGACCTACAGTGTTCACAACTCAGATGGAATTTTCTGCTGGAGCAATTCAAATGTGAACTTGACGAAAAAAATAAGACTAACCTCCTGTTGTCTTCGGGTCAAAATGACCCGAAGACAACAGGAGGTTAGCGGCAGGTCAAAATGACCCGAAGACAACAGGAGGGTTAAAAAGAAAATGAACACAGCCGTAGAACTACAGAGTCCTGAAACTAATTCTTGTGTCTCAAAGGACATCCGCCAAACATCTCCGAGTTAAAATGAACCCTGCCAGTGAAGCAAAATCTGTTGTTTAATAATATAGTTTAATAATATTGCCATATTTGGGGGTTGAAAGATTTTGCAATCTTATTTCCCCCAACAAACAAAACAAAACAAAAAAGTTTCAACCCAAAAAAAAAAAAGTGCTTTGTATCATTTACTCGGTAATTCAAAAACTAGAGTGATATATTCACTACACAGGATAGATTATTCATGTAAAGCTAGACCATGTGGAATAGAAATGGTGGGTAAACACGCTGCATGTCGCAGAAAACCTGTACAGTGAAAGGGCTTTTGCATGCCAGCAGTTTTTGACCTGAAATCTATAAATATGTGGTGACTATTTATCAAAACGTCAGTATCTAATGAGCGGCAGGTGGACAGGGTGGGAGATGAGCCGTAAAATGCTTCTAGTTGGCACCATCAGTCCAGAATATGATGCCGTGAGTTGGACGTGTGAACGAAGATGGTGAACAATGACTCTTTTTGTTTTTTTTAAAATCACATCTGCAGTGTTTTCTTCTTTTTAAGTAACTGATACATACACACAACATAGAGGCTTGACTGTCCGTCAGTGACAGTTTGTGAGTCAGTAAGTCTAGTTATTATGTGAAAGGAGCTTCCAGACCACAATCAGCAGCTTCAGAGTCTCTGCTGCAGGCGGGCGGGGGTTGAAACGCCTCCTTTGAAGCGCGCCTCCTTCCAGGCCTCCCATCATCGTCCGTCAGATTCTGGAAGGAGGCCCGAGCTAGGAAGGGATGAAGAAGGAGGAGGAGGAGGAGAAGAAGAAAGAAGAAAAAACATTTTCCCCCAGAGTCTGTGAAAAGAATTCTGTAATTCCCATCAGCTTTCAGAGGAAGAAGGGAGGGGGGGGAATAGTATCTTCCCTGGTCCATTAACACTCATGGCGTGGTGTAGCTGCTCGTATCCTTCCCGAAATTGTAATATTCCTCCATGTCCTCCATGTTCGCCGTGGTGAGTTTTGTGAGGTTTTGGGAACCGCTGTTGTCCATATTGTCAGGTGATGTAAAGTTAAAGTTCTGGCCTTCGTATTCGCCCTGGCTTTCCATCTCTGGAAGAGTTTCTGCACGTTCAAAAGCAGAAAGGAAGAGAGAGTTCAATGACAAAGGGAAGGCAGGCTTGTTTATATGCCACGATTAATACACAAAGCGATTTGAAGGAATACAAACAAAGCTGTTAAAAGGTTATTAGAACAATTTTAAGTTCAAAATATATTTTGGTTAACCGAAATATATTCAATCGCTTAACCACACAGGTTTCTATGGTTCAGTCCTGATTTCCAACTTCGGCACCAAAAACAAGGAAGCTGCTCTTCTCTGTGGTTCTGAGTTGATGTCTAAGTCTTAATTAGGTTACAGACGTCCTAAACAAAAGTATGGATTCTCATCATGACAAAGTTCGCATTTTGACTCAAACTTTCATTTTTAAACATTAGTCAAGCTAAAGGAACAATTGTAAAACTGCTACCTGGTGTAATGTTTAGACACATTGATGAAATGCAACCCTCACATTCCTCAGACCAGACTAAACCGTTAAGTCTAAATTTGTTTTCTGATTTTTGAAGTTATGTTGTGCAGAAGAACAAGCAGTCGTGTTGTGTTTCTGGAGACAAAGTGAAGGTTACTGAACCTTCGTTATTTCTTAACGCCTGACGAACAGTTCAGTAGGTGGAATTTACAACTTGTTCCCATTTGTCTTAGTTCTGCGCTCTGGTAGACAGCCTGACCGTAGGTGGATATTTGTGGATAGACTGGCCGTTTAATGATCGTTGCCCAGAATCTTAGGTTTGCTAGTCCTGTAATTACTGATTATCGAGACAGAATGGTCTTCTTTGGCAAAAACATAACTGCAGCTATTATTGCTGCCTTTGGTGAAGTCAATAAAGTTTCCCTGAAAGCATTATTTTGTAGCTTAGCAAAATCAGAAATCCAAGATAAAGATTTAAACAAACGGTAAGTAGGATCTATGAACCTAAGTTGAAACGATGCTTAAGGATAGATTCTACATTAAAATGAAAAAGCAGCCCTGACCTTGACCTTCTGGTGAGACGTCCATTCCATGTTTGACCTTCATGTGCCTGCTGAGGTTCCCCTTCAGGTTGAACTTACTGGTGCAGTAAGGACACTTAAAGGGCTTATTGCCGGCATGGAGATGCATGTGGCCCAGAAGGTTGTACATTCTATTGAAGGACTTCCCACAGACCTGGCCCACAAAAAAAAAACATCATAGCAATTTAGAAAAGTTGACATACACTAAATGAAAATGCACGATTAGGTGTCTCATTCTCTTTGCATTAAATTGTCACTGGAGTCTTGCCGACCTGCCGAGTCCAAACGCTCACCTTGCATTTGAAAGGTTTCACGGGCAGATGGACGATCATGTGGGTCTTCAGGGTCTGCTTCTGGATGAAGCTCTTGAAGCAGACGTGACACTGGAAGGGCCGGACGCTGTTGTGGATGAGCATGTGCCTCTTGAGGTTGGCGGACAGGGTGAACTCCCGGGAACACACCTCGCACTTGTGGCCCTTCATTCCCTGCGGGACACAAGGGACATCAACGCGCGGCGAAGGCGGCGGAATGTAAAACAATCGTTTTCGGTGATCTGCAGATTATTCAAATTCGGTTCCGATATACATCGGCGACCTCATGAGTTTAGTATTGAGCTTTGATGAAAACATGAACCTGAATGGTTGAAATGTTACTGAATGAACTTGTTACAATTACTATCATTGTGGTGGCTGTTATTGTTGGGCTATTAAATAGGTTACAACAAGAGGCATAACAATGTTTATTTTTAATGTCTGCTTGTTTACATATGGAAATATTTCTCATTATGTCATGAAATCTTCCTGGTTTGCAGACATTTTCTCAATAAATACCAAGGCTTGCCCATGACTTTGGCCCACAGTGAGTCTAATTTTAGACTATGCAGCCCATGAGTGATAATACACCATTCCTCCGAACGGCGCTTAAAATGTACATAAAATGTCAGCATATAAAATCCTTACAACTGAGAAAAAACTCCAGCAAAAGTTTTCTGTTCATCCCTGAAGATGAGACACTAACAACAAAAGCAATATTATTATTTTTGGTCACAGGAAACAATGCAGTTAAATGAACTGCAAACCAATCAACAAATTAATTTCTGTTTTCCAGCACACTAATTCTAAAGAGCATGTCTAGAAGTTATCAAACGCTGCCTGTGGTATAATGCCGGTTTTAATTCATTTTAGTTGAAAAAGATCCCTTTTTTTCTATCCTAAAGGGAAATTAAATGTTGCCGGCTTTGACATCGCTGCCCAAACATGCAGGTCAGAAAGGTGCATCGAAAAGAGATGACGAAAGAGGAACAAGCCCTTTTCCAGACATCTTTTATAAGACAACAGGAGCAGCCGCAAGGCTCTTCTGAATGAATGTTGCTGCTGCTGCTTCATTTACTCTACTTTAGTGACTGACCATCAGTGCACAGCAACAGATTACTTATTATACCTCACAGGGAGATCAAATTTAAATGATCCCAGAATTGTTTCTGTTGTCTCAATAAAGAGACTTTAAAAGGATAGTTTGCGTTATGTTAGTCCCTCATCAAAAACCCTTGTGGAGTGTTGCTTTGATTCTTTCATGCATGTTCAAGAAATCCTTTAATCTCCCACAGCAACCATTCAGCTACGCAAAACCTCTGGGTGAACCTGGCTCCGCCTCCCAGACGTAACTCCTCCTCGGAGTTGCAGTTTCCAAGCTGCCGAGGATCCGCCTCACAGAGCAGCTCCTTCAGACTAGCCAGCAGCGATTAGCAAACACCTGGTGGAACTGCACATCTCCGGAGCTCATCATAGCAGCTACCTCTCAGTGCTACGCTGGTAAGAATTTTACCAAAAGAGTTAATAGAGGAGGTTTCTATCAACTCTAAAAGGTTTTAACAAGCAAACCTTTAGGAGTTTCTTATACTGGAGTTAAAGAGTTTTTAAAGCATTTTAAAAAGACCCAATTTCAAGAAATTAAATTACAAAGTCAAATTTCTTTTAAGTCATATTTGAAATATAGAAAGCATTTCAGAGCAAGCAAATACGCTGATTAATTGATTGTGTAATAGATTGGAAATGGTGCCTGGAAAAAAACATAATTCTGCCCTTTCAAGCTACATTCCTCCCATAGAATATTGCACAGGATAATTGTTTGCAGGAAAACCCAGCGGTCACAAAAGGTGGGAAGTGACTGGTGAGAGTACCTTATGAGTTAGCGAGTGCTGACGCAAGTGGTGGAGCTGCACAAACTCCAGGCCGCACTGGGAGCAGGTGTAAGGCCGCGGGCTCTGGTGCTTCAGCAGATGGTTCTGGAGCTGGCTCCGGTATGCAAAAGACTTGTTGCACTCAGTGCACTGGAAGGTGTGTGGGCCCTGGTGGCTGGTCTGGTGCCGCTTGAGGTGGGCGTAGGTGGGGAATTCCATGCCGCACTGCGAGCAGACGTGGCAGCGGCCGCGCTCATGCTTCACCTCGTGCGCCCGCAGCTCGCTGGGGTAGGCAAAGCCCCGGCGGCAGAACCGGCAGCTGTATGGCTTGACGTCGGTGTGCTGGAGCATGTGTCGCTTCAGGTGGCTGGTCTGGGTGAAGCCCTTCTTACAGACAGTGCACTTGTGGGGCCGCGTTCCTTGGTGGGTCAGCAGATGAGTCTGGAGGTGACTGGGCTGCTTGAAGAGCTTCCCGCAGTGCGGGCAGGCATGTGGTTTGATGCCGTTGTGGCCCAGGATGTGCGTAACCAGGTTGTATTTGGACGTGTAGGACTTGTCGCACATGCGACACTTCCAGCGTTTGAGCCCGTCTCCAACATCCACGCAGTACGACTCATCGATCTGGATGTTTATGTCCAGCCGGTCCACTCTGCGGCCGCCATGTCGCCGGGGAGGCTGAGGGTGCGGGGGCTGCTGATGCTGCGCTCCGCTGCCGCTCCCGTCCGTCCACATCATGCTCTGGCCGCCGTCTTCGTACTCGCCGCCCATGCCCATTTCTGTAGAGTCATAGCTGCCCACCTCACTGGTCTGAAAGTAGCTGCTGATAGCTTCCTCCTGCTGACTGGGCTTCATCATAGTGTTGCCCGGGTGTTCTACCTCCTCTCCCTCCTCTCTAGTTCCTCGACATTGGCCACCCATAGGGCGCTGGGGCTGGAGTCCCCTGTGACCCTGCTCTGCCCCTCTATGTACCACTTGGGCAGGCGGAGGATGGACGTGAGTGTTTGCTTGCTGCTGGTTGGTGACTTCGCGCTCGCACTCTGCACAGTTCTTGTTGGGGCCTCTGAGAGTGGCTGGATCTACCTGAATTAATCCTCCTCTGGGCGCCATATTGTTCAGCATGTGGACGCAAGAGGGCATAGCAGAGGTCACTCCCTCCCCTTTCACGTGGGAGGAGGTCACGTCACTGCCTTGGAGGGAGTGACGGTCAGGGAGGACCATTTTGGTGTCTACGTGTTGCGGTGGCGGTGCCGCCTGTTGCCACCGCCTCTGGCTGCAGCTCGGCTGCATCTGGCCGTCTTCTCCTAAGTTGTCTCCGAGGTAATCTCCGTTGGCACCGATAAGCTGGTCTGCGTACTCGTAGTCGACTCCGTCTACTGGCGGCGCAGGGGACTCTTTGGGTTCGCCGGTGTAGAAGCCGTTGGGTGCAATGGTAGCTCCAAACACTTCATTCTGGGAGATGAGACCTAGCACGGCGGCCTGGGCCAAGGACAGCACAACTACGGGATCTGTCTGTGTGCTTATGTCCACCAGCCTGGCCATTACCTTGGGCTCACATCTACCCAGGCGCCGGCTCGCCTCCTCCTGGAAAAGAAAGGGACAGTTCATCTTTAGACATTGTTTGAATAGTCTAACCACATAGAGGCAAAGTTCCTTCTGGATTTCTATGGTCAACATTCGTAAGTCCAACCTGGACAATAAACAAAAAAGTTGCAGAAACAGTAGAATAGTACCCCGACTTGTTAAGGAAAAAAAACATACTACTAAATCCCATTCAATAAAAAGCGACTTTATTTACAAGTGAGTTGTTGGCATAAAACTCAAGATTCACTGCCACGCCTCTTTTACCGAGATCAACTAATCCCCAAAGCTACACTTCTATTGTAGCTTTGTAGCTTTGTAGTTGACTGGAAGCAGTCAACGTTTTGCTTGACCAGATTGTCTTTTTAAAAATCGGCAATTTGGCCACACATGAAGACTTACTGATTGCACTGAAAACAACAATCTTTAGGTTGGATGACTGAAGTAGACTCAGTGAGCTGGTTTCAGTATCAGTGGTGCTGAATTCATTTTCTATAGACACATGTCAGTTGTTCATTCAGAATGCCACTTAGAAACTGAATGGGAGACTAAAGTCGGTTAAAAGGTAGCTAAATGTATTACACCAATGTTAATAAAAAATAACTTGAGACTTTCTGCTGGACTTGGTTTGCAGTGTTTTGTTCACCGTTAAGGTTCAATCTACTGGCCACCCAAGGACTACACACAGAGACTAGTAGTGCTAATCGCTAATTTAATATAGTTACAATACTAGTGTTCGACATTCTGACAGTAACATCAGTTCAAATCTACACACATTTTTCTAATTTTTTCCATCCTCAGAATATCCCTACCGTTGTCCTTGAGCTACAACATCTCAGCTGCTAAAAGTATGCTTAAAAATATATTTTAAGTATGCTAAAAATATACGTAGGAGCAACTGTGAGACCATGAAACTATGCAACGATATTATTGGCCTGCAAAACATGAATGTATGACACTTGAAATATCATATTCTGTAAAAATATCACCTCCAAGCAATCCTTAAAAACTGATATTGCAAGCTCTAGAGTCCAGCAAGTAAAACTTTTAATATACATTCCTCAGTATTTTTTTTTTAATTTTCTTTTTTGGGGTACCATAAGCTCTCAGGTCTTAATGAAGGAGGATCTTTTTAAGTGATATGAAATAAATTCTGGACATTTTAATTTCTTTCTAACCTCAATTTTCATCTTTCTGAGAGTGCATTAAAAAAAAAGCCCAGCTACAAACTGATCTCTCAGGAAGCATGTCAGAGCCAAGTGTCAATACTCTCTGGAACAAACTTCCAGAAAACTACAAAACTGCAGAAACACTGAGTTCCTTTAAATCAAAATTTTGATTGATAGATGGAATATGATTATTCTTTATCATTTTGATGATGGCATTTCACTAATGGTAAAAATATATATATGTTTGTTGTTTGTTTCATAATTGTTTACTTTATTATGTTTCTATAGCACTTTGAACTGCCTTGTTGATGAAATGTGACACAAATAAACTTGGCTTTAACTCAATGGACTTCAAAATGTCATGTATGTTTTCAGGTTGTCTTTATATTAGATTATAGTAAAATCTTGGTTCCCTGCGGAGTTTCGTGTGGTCCTGATTTAAATAATTATCCATCAGTCACTACAAAATGTAAATTTTTTTATTTAAAGGAATGGAAAAATGTTTTATTAATCACCAGTATATGGTTGTGACAATAAATTAACAACACATGACCTCAAATCAGAGCTTTTCCACTTATCAAACAGAACAGAGTGGTATAATCTTTTTATTTTGCCATGTTCTTCTGATTATAGCTTTCTTCAGAAAGTATAATCTGGTAAACAAGCAAAGGACATATCGTGACTTGTTATTTATTTTGGTAGGTTTTCTTAAAGGTAGTAACAGGCTAAAATCAACGCGAGCAGAAATCGGTATCAGCAATAAGCCACAGAATCTCTGATTTGCACGTCTTGATTTTCTCTGTCATGAATGAAGAAAAACCTGAGATGTGGGGCATGAGCCACAGGAAGCATGAAAGACAGCATCTCAATCCAACACGATAACTATGTCTGGTGTGAGTGCTGAGGAGGATTAGATGGCCTACTGATCTGCACACACACAGTGAAGTCCAGAGGAGGCAGTAGGGGCGGGAAGGGAAGACCTGAGCAAGATTAAGGAATAAAAAATAAAAAAAAGTGGAAAACAGCAAGAGAGCAGGGGAAACAGTAGAAGAGGAAGAAGGAAAGAGGGAGGGGAAGCTTAGAGCATACATGAGTCTAAAGCATGGGCAGGACAGGCGAGAGAAAGATAAATGAAAGGTGGAGGGACTGAGAGGCAGGAAGGTATTGGAGGAAGAAAGTAGGAAGCAGTGGCTGAAAGAGAGAAAGAATAAGAGAGAGAATGAAAGATGTGTACAGACAGAGAAAAGGATGGGAGGGAGAGGCGATGAGTAACCTGGAGACAGAGGAAGGAAAAGAAAAAAAATCCAAAATGAAAGCCAGACTGAATAGAAAAATGACAGGTAAAGCAATTCAGAGAAAGAGAGAAAAAAGGAAGGAGCTCTAATGAAGGAAGGTGGAAACAAGCGCACGGAAAGGAACCTACATGACTGACAATCATGTGAAGCAACTTTCCAAACAAATAAACAGAATCAGAGCAGCATCACCGGATCCCTGAGGACAACCACCGACCGCGTCTTTCCACCATGCTGAACACGGCAGCCAGCGAACTCACCACGCTCCTCCTGCTGTGAAGTTTCAGGTGCTTTAAGGACCTCATTCCTCAGCGTGAGTGACACTCGGCTCCGTCCGCCTCTCTTTTTAAGCGTGAGGGACGGAGGGGAGGCGGGCACGAGCGCCGACCCGTCCTCCTCTCCCTCCTCCTCTACCTCCTCCCACCGCCGCACAGTTTTAAAAGTGATCGCAGCGGCGCTAACGACGTACGGCAGAAACAAACACCAACGTTCTTCCGCCGAGCGAGCATGTGGCTGAGGATGGATGAGCCAAGACACCTCAAAGTCCCGACGTGCGAGCTCAAGATGCAAAGCGACAGAACAATAAAATCATATACGACTGAGGTTATGCTCTCCAACTACTCCTCCATCCCCGTCGTTCTGCTCATGTTCCTCTTTTTTTCTTCATCTCCATCTTTTCTCTCCTTCATCAAGTGATTGCTACCAAATAAAACCAAATAGTTGAGAGACAGTTTCAAGGACAGACTTGCACGGAGTCAGGGTTAGAGGACGAAGACGACGGAAAGAGGATGAGAATGAAAGAGATGGAAGGTGACTGACAAGGGGATGAGCAAATGGAAGAAAAGAAGGAGAGAAAGAGAGAGAGAGAGAAGGGAGATGAGAGTGGATGGAAAGAATACTCAAGAAAAAAAAGAGAGGGGAGGGAACAGACAGAACGAGACGGAGGGGGATGGGAGAAGAATGCGACACGGACAACGGAGTTAAATGACAAAGCAAAAGATGGTTTGTTTGTTTTTTCTCTGTCTTTATGCGACGTCAACTTCATTCCCACAGCCAAGAACTTTCCATCTCATTTTAGCTCGACTCCTCTAGCAGAATTAGGGAGGAGGCAGAAACCCAGGAGCAGGTGAGAACGCGGGGCCCCGGGGCCGACCAGCGCCAAACAAGTCACATTTCCTGACAACGCAAGCATCCAACACGCCACTTTCAACACATTCCTCGTTTCAGTTTCCTGCTGTTTTTGTGTGGCTGTGCTCACAAAATGTACTACTTCGCTCTACTAGTTCATTTTAGTTGTGTTTTACTTGGTATTTAGTTTTTGAGGGCAAACTTGCATTTTTGTGCTTTAATCGTCGCATTATGGTCTCAAAACAACATTATCATCATTTATGGCAATAACTAGCGTGGCAATGTAATATCCAGCAAAATCTGTTATTGTAACAGGTGTGATGTAAAATACCAACATTTATGCATACAATTATTGCATACATATTTTATAATTTAATTTAAAAACTACTTATTAGTCACTGATTATTTATTTTGCACCTTTTCCAACAGCAAGACACAGCTAGGTCTGGACTCTGTGTGCATCATTTGCTGTGTGGGAACAGGAGACTCAGTAGTCGTCTGGTATGTTTCACTATTACATGAATATAAATGAAACACAGAGCGCCACTACTATGACAGCAAGAGGGTTCGCGAGAATCCCCACAGCATGATGCTGCCACCACCGAGGGAGAAGACATTCGGGAGGATTTGCAGAGTTCCCCACTCCCAACGTGGACAGAGAGTCATCCTGAGCGACGCTACATGAACTTGCTGATGAAGAGGAGTGGTGGTGTGAAGAAGACAATAATTGATTAGAAATACCTAATTTATAAAAAAGTTTTTTCATACTTCAAACATGACACTGAAAGTGATATTGTAATCGAATTGCATGTTCATGTTGTCTTATTTTGAAAAAAGGAATCAAATTGTTCTGACTCGCATTTTCTCTTTTATGATACACCTTTCTTTCGCCAGCTTAAGTAGCTACTACAGAACGACTAATCATTTTTTTTTCTTCAATTGCTCAATTCATGTCAGAATAATCAATAGATTACTCGGTTACTAAAATAAGCATTTGTAAAAGGCCTAACCTGCAGTGTTGTGTTTTTCCCCCTTTTTCTCAAACCACATTGGACAAAACTTTATGCTGCAGCCTAGAAAGTTGGCCTTTTGTTGAACATATCCAAACAAAGTGGCTGCGACTTTAGGAGAAACCACACGTTAAAGGCATCAGCGCTGGTCGAGATGCACATTTTATTTAGAACAATGCGAATAGGAAGGGGGATTTGAATGGCACCATGGACGCACGAGTGAAATTAGAAAAAAAATAAAAATAAATAAGCAAATGTGCTTTGGTGTGAATTTCATCTTCGAATCTGGACGTATGGATGTCTTGGTTCTGGTGAGGTTGGATTTTTCTGATATAAACGTTTGAGTAAAAGTTTGTGTCAGAAATCGCAGGAAGAAGTACGGCTAAACAACCAGATGGAGAGAACATGGAGGAAAGGGAAAAAGAGAGGGAACTGGCAGAGGACAAAATGGGGGGCGTAATGGAGCAAGCAGAGAGAAAGAGGGAGAGAACAGATGATTGCATGAAATGAAAGAGGGATTGAAGGGGGGAAGGGAGGGGAGGAGATAAAGGGAGCAGGACGGGAGGCGGGAGAGGACTGAGAGAAAGAGGGAAAGAGAAAATGAGAGGCTGCAGTGGGGGATGGGAGGATGCAGAGCAAAGAGACTGAGAGCGAGACAGCGAAAAGAAAGAAAAAAGGAGAGGGAGAGAGAGAGAGATGAGACGGGGAGCGACGTGAGAGCGAGAGACTGATGCAGGGAGGGGCACTGTGCAACGTGAGAGAAAGAAGGAGAAGGAGAGGAAGAGAGGACAGGGAGGGGTAAAATATGATGGAAACCGAGAGGAGGAAAAGAACAGAGAAACACGAAGGGAGGGAGCGTGAAAGAGGAAGAGAGGAGGAACAGAAAGAGGGGGAGGGGAAGAGAAAAATAAAGAGGTACAAAAAAAAACAAAAAACACAGGAGCAAGTGAGGGAGGAAGAGAGCACAGAACCCCTCGCTTTTCGTTTTTGAGGTTTTGCAAACATGGCTGCGGCCGGAGAGGAAAAAGAAGAGTGGAAGTCTTCATTTTGAACACAAATACATTGTAGTGCAGTGGTCTTCTTCTTCTTCTGTCCTGCAAAAGCAAATCACACACAGGCTCCTATCTGGACTGGTTCTGGTGCATCATAGGAGTTCACAAATTGGGCCCACAAGAGAGAGGAGGCCATGACAAGCTGGCCAAACACAGCAGTGACGGCGAAGAGACGCTTCAGGGCTTTGTGTGGGAGAACCAGGCTCAAGAAGATGAGTTTTACCCAAATCATCAGCAATATCAACAATAGTAGACATTGAATGATGGAAAAGCTCCCAAACGAACAAAAAATATTGTACTTTTTGGGTTTGGGGGGGTTTAAACCACCCTGCATACTACCAAAAAAAAAAAACAAGAATATCAGAAAATCACTCTGAAGTCTGACACATTTAAAGTTTGTTAATTGCAAATCTTTCTGTGTCTAGCACTTCCTTTGATTAAACAAACAAATAGAACATTTAAAATCTATAACTTAATTTACCCGTTTTCGTAGCTGCATGTCTTTTTCTTGGACAAAAAAAAAATTCAGAATTTTTGAAAATTCCATTTTCACAAAAAGCAGACTAAAATCTACCTTTGAGCATTTTGAATAGATTCTGAGATTCAAGGACTTTGGGAGGTCCAAACTCCAGATCTTTCTAGCATCCTCCAGCAAGTAAATGCCGCACAAATCTGACTTTTTCATGGCAGTCTGAATAGCCCAGTTCGAATTTTTTTCAGGGAAAAAAAGGGATTTCTACCATTTCCGAACGTGTTACTAATTTAGATACGCACCATAAAGTTTTCAAGGCGTCTGCAGTGAGAACGGTCACATTTCATCCGACTTTCAAGTCTTTTATGCGAGATGCCTGGTAATTTTGCACCAGGCTCGGTAAACGACTGCAGTGTCGACATGCTGGACAGAACTTTTCAAGGGAAAGCTTCCTTCACCCATTGCTCAACAGTGGGTGAAGGAAGCTCAACGGCGCTTTTAGTCTTCCTGTCTCTCCTTTTTACAAATCTTCAAAACTTCTTTGATGCAAAAATATATTTTTTTCCCCGCTTTTTAATTTTGAAAGTTTATTGCCTTTGAATTTTTCAAGATTTCATAATAAAAATGTCCAAATAATTAAGCATTTCAGCTTTGGATGCTTTCGGGAAGATGACGACGTTTTAATAGAAACTTTAATCAGAAACGCATTTCTCCAGTGTTTTCACTTCCGATACCGATATCCGAGGCTTATCGGCTGATACCAACCTAATACAGAAAAACGGTGCTGGACTGATTTAAGATGGTTCTTTTATTACAAATTTATTTGAAATCTCTGCACCAGTACAGCACATTTCTTCACAAACTGGGTCAAACATGTACAATTTGCTCAGTCAGTGCAATTAGGAGAAGAACAGGCAATATAAAATAAATAATAAAGGAAAAATGGGTTGACTACCTTGATCAAACATATAAAAAATAGACTATCCATAAACTTTCGTCATGCTTCATTATTACTTCCGTGAGGAGTTCGTTACTGTCTGGCGCCTACTTTCTTCTTCCGCAAAAGGCGGGTCGCAAAATGTTTCGTTCACAAATACTGCAGTCTCGTTTGATTAGTAGCAGGAAGAACGACAGCACAAAAAAGGTGGGATTTAAGATTGAATATCATAGTGGAAACTTTTCCATCCGCATCCTTTCCTTTCTCAAGAATGAAATGGACAGAACCTTTAAAAAGTGTCCAGGTCCCCTGAACACACAGCATAAAAAAAGGAGACGATGCAGGGTTTCCACACCACGAATATAACCACACAGTTAAAACATCAATCTGCTACAACTAAATATGAAGACCTGTCAAAATATGACTTGTTAGCTTTATACATCTATCCATAGAGTTAATCGTTTGGTTTGTTTACAGGACAGGACTTTAAATAACAAAGACCTTTCATTCATTCCTTCATTTCTGTTGGCGTGAAAACGACTACCTCTACAAAAATGTACTTTTTTCCTCCCTTCACATGTTTTAATACTTGGGAAACAAAATCCAGCTCATTCAAAGTCAGAATTAGCAGGGCAGACCTCAAAGAACACCAGAAAAGTGACAGTCACTTTGTTAAAGTGTTTTTCCTGCTCTTTTTCTTATTCCCTATTTACAAACTGGTCAGAGGAACAGAAACAATTTCAGCACTTTGCAGGAAATTTCTTCTCCTTTAACAAACACCCCAAATGCTCAGACAGCATTCCTAACCCCCGTGTCTTCCACGTTACCACGATCTCAACACTTCCACTGCAAACATTTACACACGCTGTAGAGATGCACCGACCTCATTTCAATATCTGCATCGGCCCAATATTGAAACAAATTCCAGATCAAGTTGAATTGCTTAATTATTTGGACATTTTTATTATGAAATTTTGAAAAATTCAAAGGCAATAAACTTTCAAAAATTAAAAAGCGGGGAAAAAAAATTATTTTTGCGTCAAAGAAGTTTTGAAGATTTGTAAAAAGGAGAGACAGGAAGACTTAAAGCGCCGTTTCAAAGCCGAGGACCCGTGCACTGAGCATCAGTGAAGGCCTCCTGCACGGAGCCCTAAAGGACAGTGAATTATAAAATGTCGGGAGGAACAGAGGGGTTTAGTTAAGAGTACGTCTTGTGACATTATATTCTTTGTTCACCAGAGGGCAGCGGACGGTTCCTTCTAACTCACACTGACTGATCCAGTGATGAACCATCAAATGCACAAAAAAGGTACAGCAATTCGATCATACTGAATCAGACTGAGCTGCCAGTAAAAATATAATAATAATAAATGACATTACACTGAGCATGTTTATTGGCTCCGACTCACGCTACGTTAAAACGAAAACGATTCCTTTGGCTTCACTGTGAACAACCCAGTTACCCCTTACATAGTATACCTGCTGTTTTTGCTATAAATTGTATTTTAAAAAAACTGAGAAGGACCACAACAGTGTTAGCCTACAAAGGCCTAATACTCTGAGCAATACACACATGAACTTAAATATAAGGTATAGTCTAATTAAATTAACAGAGCAGATTGTTTCATGTGAAAAGGAACAGCCGTCATGGACAGAAATCATACATTTCAATCATCAGACAAGATAAATATGAGAAATGCTCCTCTAGTGCATTAAAGCTCTTACCAGACGTTTGCAGGAGTCAGAGTTTATGTCTAATTTCATGGCCCGACAATGAACAACATATTATTAATAAATATTAAGTACTTGACCCCACAGTGAAGCTTCTCTACAACCACACAAACAACCCAAGTAACCCTGGACCCTCCGAAGTAATCAGTGGGAGAT